CTGTGCTGTGCTGTGGAGCACCGTGCTGTGCTGTGCTGTGCTGTGGAGCACCGTGCTGTGCTGTGCTGTGCTGTGCTGTGCTGTGCTGTGCTGTGCTGTGCTGTGCTGTGCTGTGCTGTGCTGTGCTGTGGAGCACCGTGCTGTGCTGTGCTGTGGAGCACCGTGCCTGCAGGGAAGGCCCGCTCTGCGGCATGGCCTGAGGGAGAGATTTCTGACCCCCGAGCTCCTCCAGGGGCACCGCAGCCTGGTCTCTGCTGTGTGTTCGTTGTCTGCACAGCTCGAAGGACCGGCTCCTGAGAGCCTGTGTTTCCCAGTTGTACTGGAGAGGCCTGGGCTGCAGTGACTGCCTGGGGCCACCAGGGGGCGCAGGACTGCTGCTCCTCACACTGAATCGTGGGGGGATGTGTGTGTGTGTGATTAGTATATGTGTGTGTATACACACACACACACCTTGTGGAACTCCAGATTGTTGGCTGGGATGGAGCTCAGACATCTGCATTGAAAGAAAAGGACCATGCTAGCCAGGTTTGGGAAGAGCTGATCTCTGGAGCCAGGGATGAGGGAGGAGGGAGGGAGGGAGCCACGCCAGCCTTCCCCCCAAGGCTCTTTTCCCTCTGGCCTCCTGAGGCCAAGGGCTGCGTGGCCGGCCCAGTGGGCAGGGAGGGGTGCATATCAGCCTCTGGACGCAGAGCAGGGGGAGAGATGCAGACAGAGAGAGGCGGGGCGAGAAGGAGAGAGCCAGGAATATTTAACCGCTCGAGTCAGAACAGCCTGAGTCCCCGATGCTTTCCTGTGAGGCCCTCATTAATACCAGCACGGCCGGCCGCCAGGCACAAGCTTCAGCATTTCATGTATTACCTACACTGGAGTTTCCAACTTAGTTATTTCACCAAAAGAGCCAGAAACTCACAAGAGTGGGCATTTTAAGCTCCCTTTATTGTCTAACACGTGTCCTTTAGTAGCTGGACTTTCCCACATCCGCGGCGGTGGGAAGGCTGGTGCAGGTGGCCGTGGGCTGGTGCTGGGGAGGAACGTGAGAGGCCGCCACCCCTCGGCGCCCCTCCCCATGTGTGGCCTCAGCGACCAACCGCAGGGCACACCCCATCGCTGATTACCTGAGGGGACAGAAGGCTGCTCCCGCTACCGTCAGGGCCCAGCTGCACTGATGAGCTACCAACGTGTAAGAGCTGTGTGGCTCCCCTGCCGTTCTATCGCTCTTTCCCGCTTCTTACTCGCCAGTCCTGCAGCCGCGGCCCCCTGCAGACAGGGAGACGCTCTAAGAATGTTATTCACCCCCTTGGCTGCACCCAGGTGGCTGCGTTTCAGCTGTCTGTCTGTCCCCCGTGAAAGCCTGGGTCGGAAACAACATGCCAACCGTGTTTTTATGGGAAGCCTGATGCGCCCACACACGTGTGCCGTGCAGAACGTATCATTTCATGTTCTTTTCTAATCTGTATGAACTCTTACATCTATTTTTAGCAAAATAATTTAAAGACTGTGGAAAAGAATTCATGTGAGCTCAAGCTCACTTTTTCACATTTTGTCTTAATTTTTATTGTCATCTGATCACTAGTTGCTGGAGAAATGAAGGTTATAGATCATAAACAAAACTGAGAGACATTTCCACGCAAGCTCCTCTCTCTCTTACACACACACACACACACACACACACACACACGTGCGCACACACGCACGCACACACACACACGCACCACACACACACACACACGCACACACCCTTTTTTTATAGCCAACTCATATGTTAGTGTTCCAGGAGCTTTATGTTAAGTTTTGGCTTTAAATAAATCACTTCATCTAGCCAAAACCACTGACTTTTTCATGGTTTCTACACAAAACGTCAATTCAAGTCGAGCTTCTTTCAAATTCAGTCCAGGTGCTAAAATAGTCTCCTGGTTTCCCAGGGAACATTCAACAGCATTCCCGACTCTGTGTTCATATTTATAATGTAGTCTCTAAACAGCCCAGTATTTTGTATTTTCTGGATTAACCTGGCTCCAGGGCGAATTTGTAGGCCATCAAATCCATAGACACTCACTTATAAACGTATGTTTTACCTTTTAGAAGTCAGTGATTGCCCCTTTAGGATCTTGTTTTTCATTATTTGCAAACTCTTTGGAATTCTTTAGAGAGCAGGCATGTGCATTTTACGTTAACAATAAAAAGAATAATAAAAACAAATAAACCATGTATGTAAAATGAGCTTGGTTACCACGCGATGGAGAAATGTACATCCATGGTAGGTTATGTAGCTTTTGGCTTTCACGCTCTTTAATTTATTGACTTAGAATTCTGGATATTTCCTTAGGGTTGGTCCTTGGGGATAAATCACTGCATTTAACCTTTATTAGCTTCCAAATCTAAAATATAAACAGAAACTCCTCTCCTACTCCCTCGGCCAACATTTGAATTTTGACTAAAAACCAGATCAACAAAGCTGCCCCTAACAGTCAAAATGTCATGTTCGGAAGTGTTAACAGAGCTTCTTAGAGACAACACTCTAGACAGGCAATAGAACACTAATATCCTGAGATGGAATTCGAGCCATCACCTCTAATGCAGAAGGATGGTACAAAGATCATAGACCTGATTGATGGAAGGGGTCTGTAACATGGTAAAACTCAGCTGCTCTTACTGTAGCTGCTGAGGTATTTGGAGACATCAGGAAAATTGGAGGTCTGGTGTAACTGCCGCAGCGTGACAGATGTTGTGGGAAGATGGTACTTTCTAGAGGAGCTGAGGAGCTGCAATTTCCCAGGGTAAGCGACTTACCTCTGAATGATTTCGTGGCAAATGCTTGGCTAGGACACATCAGTCACGAGGCCCCATGGTTTTTGTTATGGATTTGTTAAATGGTTTTAAATATGGATTAGGATTCAGGAGACTGGGAAGGGTCTGAGATTTGCGTTTCAGGCTGCTGCTCCTGCTGGCTTAGGAAACCCCTCTGTGGGCAGCAATGACCTGTTTGGTTCTCTGGGGGCAGGGAAAGAAACCCATGATGATGTGTAAAAGAGGGTAGCTAATATGTGGAATGATTTCTTTGCTACTGCAAACGATGCCGACCTAGCTGGTGTGCTGCGTGGTGACTGACGGGCTGGCAATCTGTTTCTTTGTGGGTATTGGTCATCTTCCTGCCATGAAAGAATCCAAGGTCTTAAAGCTTCCTAAAACTCGTGAGACTGTAGCCGAGCATGGCGGGCATCAACGTTAGCTCCGTTAGAATCGCGTGACGCAGGCTTGCACTGGGGGAAAACAAAGAAAGGGTGACAGTCCCCAGAGGGATTGTTCTGTGGCGTCATGGCCCCTTGGAACAACTGCTTAATGAAAACAATACATATCATATGATTTTATCCAGCCTCCACCCCCACCCAGAGTTTCTGACTTCATAGACCCAGGAACCTTTGCATGTTCCCAAGGGGACCAACACAACCTGTACACCAGATCCCAGAAAACACTGGCTTAAGGGCAGATTGATTCTTTCCTGGAGACCAGCCCAGGCCTACAGACGCCCCTGGGCCCCCCGTGGATGCATGTGTGGTAGGCCACCACGGAGAGGCTCGGGTTCTGACGGCTTGGTGGCGCCCGCCCTAGAACCAGGGTCCGTCCTTAAATGTGTTCACACGTGTTTAGCAGGTTAGTGGAGCAAAAGAGTTTGCACTACCACGTTCCATTTTCCCAACCCAAGAAACAGCCCCTCAGGCAGCAGGAAGAGGAGAGCTGGTTTTAATTAAAGGAGAGGGCGTGTGCGTGTGTGTGTGTGTGTGTGTGTGCGCGTGTGTGCGCGTGTGCTTTTCTTAGGTATAAATGAGCGATCATTTGCATCAAGACTACCCCGTGTCAAGCATGGAAATGTCCACACTGCTGACCACTGATAGGAGTGGTGAAGGTCTGGGTCAGGAAACGCCATTAGGGCGCCACCGCTGATTTCGCCTGTGCCTCACAACCTGGAGGAAGCAGCGTAGGGCAGGAGGGCGTCTGTGGGAAAGGACTGAAGCGCTCACCAGCCCAGAGGATCGCCTGTGCCGGTGAAGCGACCCTGAGCGTGTTTCCCCGGTGACTGTTGTCACTCCAGAGGACTCCACTCCGCGCCCCGCATCCCAGCTCCAAGCAGGTCTTCCTCTGAGGCTGACACTGGAAGTTAAGGAAGCCAGTATCGTCTCTTTCTTTGCCCTCACCAAAATGCTGGTGCTTGCCAGGCGTCGGTGGCTCACGCCTGTCATCAGGAGGCTGAGATCTGAGGATCATGGTTCAAAGCCAGCCTGGGCAGGGAAGTCTGTAAAACTCTTATCTTCAATAAACACCAGAAAACTGGAGGTGGTGCTGTGGCTCAAGTGGTAGCGTGCTCGCCTTGAACTGAAGAGCAACAGGGACAGACCCCAGGCCCAGAGCTCAAGCCCCACGACCACCACCACCAACAACAAATACCGTGCTTTCAGATATCCAAGCTGAGATCTGAGATCCCCTCCTGTTCCCTTAGCTCTCCGTGCTGGCTGCCGGACTATGAGAAGATCACAGATAATGAGCTGCAGGGCCATTGGGCCGTAGGGTTTCTCTCTTCTGCTTTTCATAGAGGGAAATCCATAAAAACCATGTACGTTTTTAACAAAGAGAACACATGATTTCCATCTAGAGCATCCTCCAAGTATGAGTAGGATTTGGCCACCTGCAAATCCAATCATTCGGCCATTCTGTGCTTTGACAGGGCCTGGTGTGCGTGCGTGTGTGCGGAGGAGCAAACGTGTGTCTACGGCGCTCACTTCTTGAAGTCCGTGAGCACAGGGAATTGGAAGGCAGACGGCAGGGCGCAAGCGAGGCCGTTTCCTCCTCTCTCTGAAGATTTCCCTGAGAGAGGCGTCCAGTCTGCCTGTGCCTCCCGCCCTCGTTCGCTCGGATCCCACGCACGGGCTCTCGGGATTCATCAGGCCTGTTGGGTCCTCCACCCTCCCGGAGTTCAAACTCGTGTCTGGAGAAGGTAGCTGTGCGCGGGCCTCCCCATCGCCACACCGAGGGTGGAAAGGCCGGCTCTGGCTTCACCACCACGGCTCCCTGCACGCCGGAAAGGCCTTGCTCTCCGGAAGGACCAGCTGCTTCTCATTTCATCTGCAGACCTGAAGCCCAGCAAATGCTGGCTCGGCTGCTTGTTTTGTAGTAAACGCTTCACACGGCCGGAATCTGGAAATACTGGAACGCTCAGCCCTCAACAGAGACAACACAGCAGCTGTGTCTTCCGTCCACCGACTCCCAGCTCGGCTGTCAGAGGCCTGAGGATTGTCGGGGGCTGGGCGGGAGGCGGGAGGCGGGGGGGCGCTGAGCACAAAAGGCATCTGAAGGATCTACGACTACCTTTGCTGCTGGCTGCACGCCAGGAAGGGAAGATTGAAGATTGCCCTGGATGGTGAGACAAGTCACATTTTGGCCTCTGTGGAGAAGGTTCTGGAAGCCAGTACCACAAGACAACACGGGCACAGTGTGAACAATGGCAGGCTTTCAGACCAAAGGCCTGGCTCCATCTTTTCCATCTTCCGCCCTTCTGCTTTCTCTGGTTCCTGCAATCCCCCTGTGGCCTATGATTGGGGAAGGAGTCGGTGCCAAGCCGACATAAAGTGAGCAGTCTTTCCTTGATACTTCTTGTGCGTCACGCTGGTGAAGTCATAAAGATCATTTAGTATGAGCATGTGTCTCCCCGGCTGAAAGAGCCAGCTCCTCCTCTTGTGACAACAATATAATAGCCTCAGATGCTCTTCCCGGAAAACGCCGGCTGTGGGCGGTGTCTGCGCGGGCTCCTCTGTGCCGGGCGGTGTCTGCGCGGGCTCCTCTGTGCCGGGCGGTGTCTGCGAGGGCAGCTCTGTGCTGGCGTGGCCTCTCAAAGACACACTGCTTGGGGAACAAGGACGGCGTGACACTCGGAGACATCCAGTCCCCCGGGGGAGGCGGGTGACCCTCACGGAAGAACTGCTCAGAAGCTGTTGCCCACGGTGATGCCCATCCTTGGTCAGAAGCAGCGGCTCCATCTTTGCACGGGCTCATGGAAACGTTGCAGACATGGGTGAATAGCCCCTCTGTGCACAGGTTACAAAAACGCCTTAAAATCACATTGCCGGGCTGGGAAGGCGGCTCCGTGGCAGAGCGCTTGCCTCGCATGCACAAAGCCCAGGGTTCGATTCCTCAGCACCACACACACAGAAAAAGCCAGAAGTGGTGCTATGGCTCGAGTGGTAGAGTGCTAGCCTTGAGCAAAAGAAGCTCAGGGACAGTGCCCAGGCCCTGAGTTCAAGCTCTAGGACTGGCTAAAAAGAGAGAGAGTGAGAGAGAGACAGAGAGACAGAGAGACTCACACTGCGGTCTCCTAAGCCATCAAGACATGTGAAATGGTTTTTAGTCTTCTTACTCATTCCTCACCTATCTCAGCAACTCAGCTGGTTTTTGAACTAGAGGAACCAACACACTGTGGACACAAGGCTCCTCTTCACGCAGGGGAGCTCGCCAAGATGCCGGGAGGGGGGTGCGGGGGGCGCACAGTGCACCCGCCTGCCGCCTGGCCTCTTCCTTTCCCTGCCTCCGCTCCCGGGCTGCCCTGAGGTTGCCCTTACTTCTCAAGCCCCCTTGGGCCCCGCGTTTGCTGTGACCCTGGGCCTCAAGTCCATGGCTCTCGTGTCCATGGCCAAGCCGCTGGGCAGGCCGGAGGCGAGGCCTTCCGGAGGCCATGTGGCGGCCGGAGGGGCTCCGGCTGTGCCCAGGGTCCTGAAGGTTCATCTGCCTGGGGATGGGCTTCGTGAGGGATCTGACCGGTGGGAGGCCGCCCTGAACCAGACCTTCTGCGGGGCTCTTGGTACTTGGCTGCGTGGTGTGACTGGGCCTGCGGGGGACGATTCTGCAGCATGGGGCTCCGCTCACACAGAACCGGCAGCTCTCTTCAATCTGTGGCTTGCAGCACAGGCAGAGCGAAACTTACACAATGGATATTGTTTAAAGGACATGTGGTAGTTATTACCGTGAAAATACCCTCTGCAGCATGTGTCTACTAGCCTAATAGCTGCTCCAACACGTCCACTCGCTGCTTTGCCTTTCTCTCCCACTGTTCTCTGGCCCGCGTTTCCATACCAGCACCCCAGCCCGACAATGGAATTATTGTTGCTCCTAATTGTTTTTGTTCTTTTAATACTGCCAGGTAGCTTGCTGTCAGGGAACTTTTACAAGTGGCCACATCCCTTACTGATCGGCGAGCTCCGTGTGCTTTCTCATTGGCAAGGCTAACTTCAGGAGTGGACACCCACCTGTCCACCCACCGCATCCATCTACCATCTTTCCCAACTCCCCCTTTCTCTCTTCCTCCCTAAGAACTTGTATTTTATTGCCCTACCTACCAGGACGTGGCTGACCGGCAGAGTTCTCCTTTCCAGAACGCTGTTCTCCATGCGGGGCCCATGGTTGTTTGTCCTGAGGGGACACTGTGTGTCCACAGAAGCTTTCGGGAGTTAGGAATGCGTGGTCCTTCATCTCCACCCCTTTCTGGACCAACGCAATAACTCACTGCTGTAGTACTGGGGCGTATTCATTTTCAGTGCCTCATTACTGATGCTGGGTGTACCACTATTGAAACACAGTTCCCTGATCAATACGCTGCATGCAGCAAAGCCTGCCGGCCAGCCCACCACTTCCAGGGTCTACGAAGACTTTTCACCGTGCGGTGCATTGCTTTATCTTCTTTATTCTCTTGCCCTGATGTTTCCAATCAGCCTATCCAATGTAATATAAACCAGCAGAGAAAACCTTGCGCGTTTCCCAAAGGGAATTCATTAGTGAATTATTCAATTTCAAATAAAGATATCAGAAACATATTTGGACGATCACTAGGACTGTCACTTACACACTTTTTATTGAAAACATTTGTATGCTATAGTATGAAAAACAAAGTTCTAAATATAGTGCAAATGCGTCCGATTCTTATCTTATGTTTGTCTTCTTTGCTATGAGCTTTGTGTATCATCATTCATTGGAAAACTTACCATTCAATTTGGGGGACATTTTTTTTTTTGGTCTAGATATCGGCATCTTTGTGTCCATATTGGTCTTTCTAAGTTATGTTCTAATTAAAATTTAACACATGTACAGTCTGTGATACGTTCAATTTCTATTTCAAACGATTGTTTTTCAAATACATTGATACCAAGTTTAAATGACTTTTCTAGGCCTCATCTATTTTTACCGCCTCTCTTACAACACATTTGTAAGTTCATAAAAATATAAAAAAAAATCAGCTACTCTAACTGGGGGGAATACTATTTAAATTCGTTCCTAACACAAAGTTGAAATTAATCTTGATTTCCTATCAAATGTACAGGGATTTTTATTATATAGTTCACAGTAGTGTTTAATTCCTCTAGGGTAGAAGTTAAAATAAACGAGTCACTGACAGTGTTTATCTATGAATACAGCAGATGGTAAGGGACTGAGGTTAGTTATCAACTCTGCCGACTTTAATTTCATGGTTATAAAACACTGTGAACCTCACGATTTATAAAAAGTCAGGGAGGGTCTCCAATGGGCTTCTGTGGCCAAGAAGCCCTCGGCAATATTAATCTCTCCAACTGATACCTGGTTTCCTCCTCGGCGCAATATCAAGACTGTGAAGTGACTGCTACAGACATTTAGATTTTCACTGGGAGCCGGGCCTAGTGTGTCTGTCACTGACCTATTATGGGTTTGGTAATGAGTTCCAGGTGAGTGAAACTCAGTGAAGGAGTTGATCCTCCCTCAATTTTCTGAGGTGAGTTGTTTAGCAGCTGAAAGTTAACTACACAAAAGGTGGGCTAGCTTACCCTACCATCCTAGGTTTCCTTATGCCGAGAAGAGTGAAATGGTGATCAGGCCAAATGCGTTTGGGGGAATCACAGAGGAAAGTCATAACGTACTGAATCAGCTTCATAATTATGTATTTACATGAATTTGCCTAAAGCAGCACGAAGCCCATGGAATATACAAAGACCAAACCAATTATCCTCCACGTCAATTCTGATGTAGATATAATTGTACATGCTCCATTTGATTAAGTATTCC